TAATTATTTTGGTAAACAATGATTGTGCAAAATACAGCTGTATGTCTGCTAACCAGCCACAGATTTGGAAGTCTGGCCATGATTTAATCTCCCTGACCACTGGCCACCAAAGAAGCTGTAAACAAGGACAGGGAGCCCTCCAGATGACAAGTTGGGTTTGGCCACAGAAGATCCCTGTTTTCCCGCACAATCTTCTTCTCCTCTTATCTCAAAAAGCATTGCTCCAAGATAAGGAGGTATTTCAATGTTGTGCATGGAAATGAGTTGTGCTTTGCAGGCCGGGAAGCAATTGCACAGTAGCTGAACCGTGCTTTGCCAGAAAGAAATCCATTGTACGAAACTGAATTGTGCTGGACAGGCAGGAAGGCTGTTGCATGAAAGTGGACTCTGCTTTAGGGACAGGAAAATGGTGACATCAAACAGAGCTGTGCTTTGCTGGCAGGAAAGTTGTTACAATTATGCTTACTTCTGTCTAGACATACCTAGAACTGAGCTGTGCTTTGTATGCTTGGCGGGAAGTTACCCAAATTTGTAAGTGTTACATCAGCTCTGCTCACTTGGTCTGGTCCTATCTACTGTGTCTTTGACTTGAACCTGAGCCATTATCCTCAGTGCATTGTAAAACAAGTGTCTGAATTCTTGTAATTGTTGCGCGTGCCATCAAGTTGCCTCCGTTGAACCATTTCCAGAATGTCATCTCCTCCATTGTTCTGCTCAGTTCTTGCAACCTCAAGCCTGTGGCTTCCTTTAGAGTGTCATTCCATCTCATTTGTGGTCCTCCTCTTTTCCTGCTGCCTTCCATCTTTCCCAACATTAGAGAATCCTGTCTTCTCAAGATGTGCCCAAAGTAGGGCAGCCTCCGTTTCATCATTTTTGCCTCTAAAGACAGTTCAGGCCTGATTTGCTGTAGGACCCACTTGTTCATTTTTCTGGCAGTTCACGATCTGCAAAGCTCAACATTGGCCATCCTAGCTGGGCGAGTCTGGAGGTTGTAGTCCGAAACCAGGAATTTGTTCATAATAACATTTATAATCTAATAATCTTAGAACTACAGAGCTGGAAGGGACCCTTTGGATCATCAAGTCCAGCCCCTGTCAAAGAAGCACCGGAGGGGAATTGAACTCCCAACTTCTGGGTCCTCCACCAGGTGACTAAGCCACTGAGCAATCCAGCAGTTTAGCCCTGATTCATCCTCATCTTCTCATTCTTTAATAAAAGAACCACTTTTGATCCTTCCTCAATCAGGCCCCCAAAATGGATGCTGGGCTTTTAGTACTGGAGTTTTAATGCTTGCCTTACTGACCCGAAAGTGGTTCTTGAGACGATGCTACAGAGCATCATGTGAGGGCCATGAAACAAACACGCAAGCAATGAATACAACACCATGCCCTTGAAAATGGCACCAGATCCCAACTTCCTCCTACACTGGAACCACATCCTGCTCCGCTTTCTCCTCACCTCCATCCACCTTTTATCCATCCAAACCCTCTTCTGGGAACCGGCCCTGGCCTTCTTCTCTAACCAATTGTTTCCCCCCCTCTTTGCTTCCCGTCCAATGCCCTGGTCCAAGCCTCCCGGAAGGAACCGGAACCCTCTCTTCTGCATGCCAATTATTCTCATTTTGCTGACTGCCCCATTTCGCGAGTTTTGAGAAACGGGTTTTGCTGAAGTCGGCATTATATGCTCTTTAGCCCTGGATGGACAAGAACCAGGATGTAGTTTCCGAGGCGTTTGACTCCTAATTAAGGGCACGAAGGAGATGAACCAGCTGGTCTGTGAGATGCCTTCAACCGGGATGCTAATTAGCCTCACATTTATCAGAGGTGAGCGAGTGTCCCGTGACAGCTGTGTGGCCTCTCTCTATAATTAAAAGAAAATATCCTCATCCTCAAGCAGAGCATTATGGACCATCTTGAATCAGCAAAAGGGTTCTTATTCCGAATCTCCCGACCACTCCTCTCTCCCTTGAGACCGGAGGTCAAAGATGGAAACACAACAGGCGTCTCAAATGTGGATGATGCTGGGATACCTGGGCTCCTCTGTTTCGTCTGAACAGGTGAAACAAGCCCTGGATTTCTGGAGTCAACAAATTGCCCAGGTGAGCAATTTTTAACATAGGGCAACTCTCCCTCCTTCTTCTAAGGGAAGGCCATCCTGAGGGTGAATACACTCAGGCAGAATCCACAGGTACATGTTCACACCTTGCGGTAAAGCAGAATCATTTTCAAAATGATTCAGTGAATTCTATTCATTCATTCATTCATTCAATCAATTTTTATCCCACCTTTCTACTTTAAAGGATCCAGGGAGGTTTACATTATTGAAAGACGATATTTAAAGCTAAAAACAGTGAGGATACAAGCAACAAAAAAAGAGACCAAGCCAACACCCCCCAAAAATGGTGCAAACAGAAGTTCAAAACAAGAAGTCACAATCGTCCATATAAGAACCCCATGCAGGCAGCCAGTTACTCAGGGAAAGCTTAGTTGAAGAGAAATGTATTTGTCTGCTTGCAGAAGGACAACCAAGAGGGGGCCAGGCTGGCTTCCCATGGGAGGGAGTTCCCGTGGAAGGGAGTTCCAGAGGCTGGGAGCTGCCACTGAGAAGGCCTTCTTCTGCGTCCCTTACCACAGTGGTCCCCAACCTTGGGCCTCCAGATGTTCTTGGACTACAACTCCCAGAAGCCTACACCACCACTTCTGCTTGCCAGGACTTCTGGGCGTTGAAGTCCA